TTCTTACATTCATGACCAAGTGTCATTTTAATCAATGTGTACACAGAACATAAAAAGTAAACATTCCTGTCTTTAGAAAAAGGAGGGGAAAAGTGGCTAGAAGGCTTCAGAAAGGGAAAGCAGGAAGCAAATTTCATAAACTTGTGCCTATTCCTGGTCACTGGTATGTGGTCACTGGTAAGCATGGGTATACTCCTCTCTATTTGCAAGATGAAGACTTTGGTTTTTTCCTTTGCTTTAATATTTTTTAAATTAAATATTTAGTAGATATATTTATAAAACATATGTAGAGTATAAACAATAACAAAACCAAGGCCCGGGCACTCCCCAGCTGGTTACAGACCATGACTCCCACCTCTGCAGCTCCAATGAAGGACCCTCTCCAGCACCCCCCACTCTGAAGCACGCTGAATGCTGTCATTATTGCCTTACTTTTCTCATAGTTTTACCCCATCCATGTTTGTATGGAGTAAGGAATACAGAGAACGGCTTTGCATATTTTGAAATTTATATTAATAAAATACATCAGTTTCTACTGCAACATATGAAGCCATAGTTTATGTATGATTTCTGTGTGTGTGTATGTGCATGTGGTAATTCTCATCCTTGCTGTATTCTACTGTGTATATAAATGTACCATGGGGTTCTGGTCAAGATGCCGAAGTAGGTAAACACTGTGCTTCCCTCCTCTGGGGACCACATCAAAATTACAACTAAAATCTAGAAAAATCAGCCTGGAGAACCATCTGAAAACTAGCTGAACAGAAGTCCTATAACTAAGAGTGGGAAGCAGAAATCATAATGAGACCTACTGAATGAGTGAATAAATACACCTAAATGTAGCACAACTTATTTATCCAGTCCCTTGCTGATGGATACTGGGTTGCTTCTGGGTTTTTGTTTTGTTTTTCTAAGAAAAATGAAAGCTGCCCTAGTTGAGTAGCTCAGTTGGTTAGAAGGTCATCCCGATATGCTAAGACTGCGGGTTCCCTCCCAAGTCAGGGCACATAAAAGAAACAAGCAGTGAATGCATAAACAGTGGAAGAGCAAGCTGATGTCTGTCTGTCTGTCTGTCTCTCTCTCTCTCTCTCACAGTTTTTAAAAAAGTGAGTGCTATTCAGAGTTTAAATGCCCAACTCTCCAGCAGTCTTAGCTCCCAGAGAAATGCACATTGGTAGAAGTTATGGAGAGAAACATGATTGGAAATGAGTGAGATACACAGTTCACAGAATGAATCCCAGAGGGCACAAAGGGTAAGTTAAAAGAAACTAGATGTTCCATCTCTCAGGTAAGAGCTCATGGTATGGAGGTGGACAAATAGTAGCTAAGCCCTGGGCTTATCCTTCTCCTCCAGCCACACTGTGAAACGCTTCAGATGCTACATTAGGAAGTTTACACCTCAGTCTGATCTAATGAATTAAGCCCTGGCTTACCAAGGAAAAGACTAAAAGGAGACTTCATTCTGATTCAAGGCTAGTGCCTCTTATCTCTTTTTGGGGATGCAGATATCTCTAAAAATGTAAAAGTCATTACTCAGTCCCTAGGAAAATGAGGAAGACACATTTTACGTATAATTTCAAGGGGTTCCCACCTTGATAGACACTCAGAAGTCTATATATAGACCCTGGTGGTGTTGGGGGGGTGCTAAAATGCAATTGGGAATTAGGTTATACTAATGAAAGGGAAACAAAAAAAGAAAAAAACCCTAAAGACTAATAAGAAAAGACCAGAGTACAAAGTTCTAACCACTTAACCAAATAGAAACTGCAACAAAAATTCATCAAAATGGAGCAGAAGGCACAGTAAGGAGGTAAAGAAATAATAAAAAATGATTTCAAAGTCGAAGAAACTCAGAATATACTGAGATATTATTAAACAAAGCCATTTGTGTGTGCACTTGGGTCTCAAAAATGTCAAGGCAGTAACATTTATCTATGCCATGGAAAATATTCCCACCGAGACCACAAAGTGCTACGACTTTCTGCTATAACTCAGTCTTCAGATCTGGCACATTCTCTCAAGTACCCTTCACCTCCTTCTACTTGTTCATAAGAGATCTTATGGCAGGAACATTCCACCGCATTCCATCTGCAATCAGCTATAATTCCTATGAGCAGCAGTCCAGGACTGCTTGCCATCATAGGAGTCTTTTACTACAATGAACACATGTGGCTATAGCAAATTTCTTTCTTTCTTTTTTTTTTCAACAATTCTAGATTCAAAATGCATACTCTCTCCCCATCTTAAGTCCAGTGTTTTTGTTAAAACAAAACAAACAAAAACAAATAAACAAAAAAGCCATTAATACTTTCTAAACATAGCAAGTGGCTCACTTAAACTATCTCACTTAAAAGTTATCTGGATTACATATTAGTCAAATTACTAATAAACTGCTATATAAAATTTAAAAAAACAGAAATAGAAAATATTAGGAAGAAAACAAAAATGCCAAGAATCATAGAGGAAAAAGTCTCTGATACAACTAGATAACTACCTTTCCAAGAACAAATACCTTTCAAAGGAATCAAAATTAGCCTAAGCCCTCTGAGGCATAACAAAGTATTTAGCTAGAAAACTAGCCCTACTTTTTCCAAGGCTGATTCAGCTAATGAGGATTTTTGTTTAGTAGACTAATGCAAATTTAAAAGTCAAATTTCTCCTGCTGAACATTTACGTGCGAAAAGCAATCTGTTAGAGCCAGAAGAAGGACAGCAGTGCCCATATCCAGCCATAACACTAGTAAGTTCTAATAAGCTACAATCCTGAAAGTTTTCCCAAATGTACTGGGTGTTTCCTTTAAATTCTAGTTGCAATGCCCTATCATCAACGAATGTTACACATGCCCTTTACCAAACTCATAGCTGCACTTTTTAAAAACCCTGTTTAATGACAATTATCACTTTGATCACTTTTACATTGTACTGAGGTTATTTTATTTAGTATGTCTTGTCTCTCCAACCACAAACAAGTAACTCTGTAAGGGCAGGGTCTATGTACATACAACTCTGTAATCCCTATAGACACACACTATAGTAGACTCGAGAGACAGAGAGAGAGAGAGAGAGAGAGAGAGAGGGCAAGGCAAAACACAGTCACTTGGCCTTTGGTCTAGAAAAGTTCTGGATGAAATGTGATGGAAAAACAATTGGTAGTTCAGCACTGTGCTCAAGATGGTCCACCAACTGTTTTTCATAGGACGAATACAATATATCCAGGCCTAAGTCATCACTAAATTATTAATTACTTTTATTAAAAACCAGGCATTTTTCTTTAATATTTTATCAAAAGATATTTCAATATTTTCAGTAGTTCTGGAGATTTTTTGTGGGATATAAGCAAGAATGGGTGAATAAAACTTACATCTTCACAAATTCTAAATTTTATGGCCCCATCATAAAAAGGTATTCAACTCAGAATCTTATTTTTGATTCTTCAATTTGCTATCCACCACAAATGAAAATATCTTAAATCCTTCATCCAGAGTGAATATCATATTTGGGTAATTTTGCTTTTCCCCCTAAAGTGATGTTATTTTTAATACAACAAAAATAAGGTCAAAAAAGCTATATATCTTAAAAGCAATGAGATCTACTACCTTTTTTTAGTAGCCATCAATATAATCCATCTGATTTAAAAAAATAACAAAGTCAGAAAGTCAAGCAGACCTAAACTCATACCCATTTCTTAAAACTATTCAGAGCTAAAGAAAATGTTTTAATTTTACTATATACTCTAAGAGTTTTACTCTCTTAGATAGGCAATGGATTACTTTTTTTTTTTTTTTGATAGTCTATTTGGTACTTAGCATACCATTATACGTACATAAAGTGGATGTTTGCTAATAAATAAACCCCATTCACTTATTATGGATAGTCTTTCATGCAAAAATCTCAAAGGAAACAACTTTTACAAGTTATCAACATGAATTTTATTATTCAGGTATTTAAAACATTCAGTGCAGTCAAGACTGAAAAATAAGCTACTATTATATCACTAGTCTTAGAAAAAGATGTTGCTGCTTAACTATCTCTGGAAGGAAAGCGCACACAAGTTGCTTCTGGAGAGAGGAAACAGTGGACTATGTGATAGGGTGAGAGGAAGTACCACATATTCTTTGTACATACTGAATTTCGTAGTATGTAAATGAGTGTGCTCCATGTTCACAGAACAAATCAAAATTGGGAGGAAATTAAGATAATGTTATTTGACCTTGACAATGAATATAACCTTTCAACTAACTGAAGATGCGGTCATTCTAAAATGATTTGTCATCAAGAAAAAACATTAGCATCATTACTTAACACTAACACAATTTTCTATTTTTATAAAATGGTGAATTGATTTTTACATTTCATGGATATGGCCTTTTAGTACTCCTTTTCTACTTAAAAGTTTCTAGTAAGATTTCCAGCCCGTACGGAAAGTAGCAACAGACACCCCAGCCATAATGAAAAGCCACTCTGTGACACTGGGGATTTCTCCTGGATAGTTCAGTACGCGAATCATATCAGAGAAAAGTCGTTTTTTAAAAAAATCAATTCTAGTTCCTTGGGCGTTATCCCACAAAGGTAAAGGCCATTGGTTCAATTCCTGGTCAGGGCACATGCCTGGGTTGCAGGTTTGGTTCCCGGGGGTGGGGTGGAGGCAGATTTTGGTGAGACACAACTGACAGATACTTCTCTCTCCCATTAATGTTTCTCTCCCTCTTTCTTCCTCTCTTCCCCTCTCTCTAAAAGAAAGATAGATAGGAAGGAAGGAAGGAAGGAAGGAAGGGAGGGAGGGAGGGAGGGAGGGAGGGAGGGAGGGAGGGAGGAAGGAATCTTAGAAATCCATTCTGGCTCCTAATCCAGGATTTCCTCAAGTTCACCTTTTAAAAAAACTTGTGATATATACCATTATATTTACAGGCAATCCCAATAGCCAAAAATACCTCCAAACTATGTTATAATTAAATGTATTTTTTCAGAGAGAAATAAAAGGTCCAATAATCGGGATTTAGTGTGCCCATTTTGGCAGTTCATATACTAAAACTGGAACAATACAGAGAACATTTGCATGGCCCTGTGCAAAGATTTAGTTAAATACTGTGTGAAACTTAATTCTTAAAATAAAGCACAAAAACAACAGAGCTGAAATGAGTGACATTTAAGAACATAAACATTTGTTTTCTAGTTCAACTTTAAGTCTAGCTCAAACTTTAAGAAAGGAGCCAATGATCAATGTTGACTATCCTTTTAAACAATTTTATTGAAATATAATTTACATCCCATAAAGTTCACCAATTTAAAGTGTACAATTCAGGGGAGTTGGGGGAAGTGGGGGAGGGTATGGAGAAACAGTGATGGACACAGACTTGACCTGGGGTGGTAAACACACAATACAGTGTACACATGTTATACTGTAGAACTGTGCACCTGAAACCTGCATAATTGTGTTAACCAGTGTCACCCCAATAAATTCAATAAAAAGGAAAAAATGAATAAAAAAACAAAGTGTATAATTAATACTGAATTTTGCATCTTTTTCCTTTTATAATTATTTATAGGATGTAATTCACTGAATCACTGACACAACTGACAAAGAAATGTCAATCATGAATAATGGTACCATGAGTTCAGACTCCTACTTTTAAATATTTTTTTACAAGATAGATTGTTACTAGTCCTATTTACCAAGTTCAGAAAAGTGTATAAGCAATAGAAAATTCAAAGCTATACATGAGGAATCACACACACAAAAAAGTCTAGCTCATAATAACACAGAATGGTGGTTACCAGAAGCTGAGGAAGGGGGATGGGAGGAAGAAGATACTGATCAAAGGACATAAACTTTCAGTTACAAGATGAATACGTTCTGAAGACCTAACGTGGGCATGGTGATGATAGTAGGTCTCGAGTGTTCTCACCACATACACATAAAAAGGTAACTATGAGAGGTGATAAATATATTAATTAGTTTGATTGTGGTGGTCATTTCACAATGCATACATGTATCAAAACATCGTATTGTATATCTTAAATACACAAGGCTGGGAAAAAGTAGGTTTACAGTTGTGAGTACAGAAACAGTTTATTCTTGTATTATTAATTATTATTTTCCATACAAACAACTGTAAACCTACGTCTGTCCTAGCCTGTATATAATTTTATTACCCACTGGTAGAATCTTCTACACAGAACACTGTCAAATGACCCACAAACAGAATGGTTCCCCAACTATTCAGCATTAACTTGTGTCTGAAGAATCTACAATTTTGCTTTTTCACAAAGCTATAGCTATATATTATAGCTTTTTCTATTGTTCAACTCAAATACTGTAAGAGCTTTAAGACTATCTTGGCAAGCTCAAGGGCTATTTACAATCGAGAAAGAAAAATAATCTTGGCACCTCAACAGGTATATTTCATGTCACCATTTAGTAAAAAATCACTGCTTACACCTTTGTTATCATTAAGATTTCAACCTAATTACACTTGCTATTAATTCAGTTCTCCAGTGATCTCTCAATTGTAAAGAACAAAATAAATAGTCCATATTTAAATTTGGTAGAGAAAATGTCACAGGAGGAAGCATTTAATGGATCATTCAAAATAGCAAAGTTCAAAGTGGTAATATCCAAATGTTAATTTATTCTGATCACAGCAAGAAGGGAAAGGAGAAAGGATGGGAAAGTGAGATATAGCTGATAGAAAACAACATGTACTTACTAGTCGAGTTGCCTTGCATCTGAATGATGCACTTGGACTCTTTGCTGGTCTCTCGAGAATTGAAGGGCCGCACACGGACAGCCACCTTCACTGAGGCTCCCGACATTCTGACTGATGGTCTTGTTATACAGATATGCAGTCCAGAAATAAAGAATCAAATCTTCTTTTGATTTATATTCAAGTTTCCTTTAAAAAAAAACCCATAGAAGGTAGTTAGAATTAAAGAAAGCTTGTGTTAACTTGAGCATAAGAGCTCTTAAATCTTAGTACTATTTATCTTATATCTTACATATCTTAGTACTATTTCCGCTTTCACTTCTAAAAACCTCATTCCTTTTCCTCCCTGTAAACCATCAAATAAAAAATTATGACCAAATCTTGTTTTCCTACTACATTACCTCTTTACCATATCTAAAAAGCCCCTATACTCAGTAACAAAAAATGTAACTGCAAAGTAACAGACATCTATCTAGCTGGCTCTGTTTTTCTAAACCAATCTTCAATAACAGATGAAAAATACAAAGTGTTTATTCGTTAAGAGTTCCTTACACAAGTAAATTCCCATCCGCAAAAACAAGTTACATTAAAGAAGTGCACTGAACTTTCTATACGTTAATTATAGCTTGAAACATTCGGTTACACAATGTGTACCTAAACAGCAAAGGACAAAGAGTTCTGGCTAGCTCCTTTAACTTCTAACTATTCAGAGATTCCTTGACCTTGGAAGATCCTTTTCACTTGTATGTCATTTGACCCTGGCAACCATCTTGTAGAATAATCAGAATATTCCAAGAGTCCTAGGTTCTACCCTCTGGTGTGCAGAATCAAATCACTACACTGTACCACTGAATGAAGCCAATGGAAAAACTGTGAACATGTTTCAGAGGAATAGTTTCCCTCCCAACAAAACAAAACAAACACTATTCTGTGAAAAGAACCCACGTAAGTAATTTCCACAAGAAAAAGCAGATCTCAATCTGTACTCTATCCATTATGCAAACATCTTCAAGAAAAAAAAAACCTAAAAAAGAAACACACTTTGAAGTTCCATTATCAGAGAGTCCCAACAGAACTGAAACCTTTCCTGGTTGGTATGGCTAAGTGGATGGAGCATCAGCCTGCGAACAGAAAGGTCAGTTAATTCTTGATCAGGGCGATGCCTGGGATTCAAGCCAGGTCCCCAGATGGTGGCATGCAAAGAGGCAACCGACTGTTGTTTCTCACACATCAATGTTTCTTTCTTTCTCTTTCTCCCACCTTTCCTGTCACTCTAAAAAATAAAATCTTTTCTAAAGAAAAGAAAAAAGAACTTAAATCTGACCGATTATTTCCCGTATAATTAGAGATTAGGAATGCTAACCTCCAGTAGCATATCTACAAATGTCTTCCACAACATAAGGTATAAATATATAAAAAACCAAAAGCTACTCTCTACCTCATTACCTTTCGTATTTTCTCAACAGCATTATCACTTTGAAATCCTTCTTCTTGAAACGTCTACTGTTTGTCTCTCTCACACCACCACCAGACCAGAACGTTCAGAGATCTTATTTGCTAGCACTTAGAACAGTACCTAACGATGGATCTGAGTAAATAATGTTTATTGAAAGAATAAATTAATGAATTATATTTCCCAACTGTAAAAACTGTTCAAGTCTTTTGCCTGGTTTACTCATGTTTTGTTTGTTTCAAATAATTACAATATTTATTGATACTGATCTCTTTATATCTGCTCCAATTTTTCCGGTCCCTTTCCCATTTTATTTTACATTAAACAGATGGTGCTTTTAAAAAATATATCAAACATTTATTGTGATCCCATTTATCAAATGAAAGCTTTGAGTTCTTAACCCTCCCAACAAATACAGCATGACCAATAGTCTAGGTGAGCACAATGCTGTGCCAAGAGAAAACGGATGAAGGAGGCAGAAAAGGACAGGGCACATTTCAACCCCCAGAGCTCACCCTGACACACAGCCGTCATCTCAACACTCTACATGTCCCGCTCCTTTCTTGCCCCAACTAGCAATTTCTGCCAATCTCCTACTTATATCCGGCCCCGTACCATAAAACTGGAGTCATCTTTGTTTCCTTCTCCTTGAATCCTTTCAGTGTTAAAATTATTAATGAAATGCCATACAAAAACTTTTAAAAACAAATTCACATTTTCTATCCCTTTCTCCCTCTCATTCCCCCTGCCATTATCCCAATCTATGTCCTTACTACCTCAACTGATTTTTGAGCTTTAAGCTTTAATTAGGGTTGGTAAAACAGAATCACATAAGGGCCTTTTGAAAAGTATATGGTGATAGAAGGAAACTAGACTTTGGGTAATGAGCATGCAATAAAAGATACAAATGTTGTATTATCAAGTTGTACACCTGAAATTTATATGATGTTATTAATCACTATTACCCCAATAAATTTAATTTTTTTAAAAAGAAAAGCAAGAGCCTACACTCCCCAGCCTTGTACTGGACAGTTCTGAGACAGGCCCCAGGTATGGGTCATTTGTTTAATTTCCACAAAGATTATGTTGTAAGTCACCAGCTGAGAACCCTGCACTATGCAATTGCTTAACCCTGCTGCAATATTAACCTTTCCAAAGCATAACTTTCTATTTCACTTCCAAACTCAAGAACTTTCTTTCATCCCCCAGTGCTAACAAAATCAAGACCAACGTTAAAGTACTCTTGACTTTGTTCTAGTCAAGCTCCTTTACTATCCCCTGTTCCTTCACGCCTCCTAACAATTTCTCCCCTACAATGTGCATATGAATTTTCATTTTCTCCTCTATTTGATAGTCCAGCTCCAGTCTTACCTTTCCTAAAATGACTACCCCAAACGTTCCAGGAATCACTGGTATTTCCTGAAGCATTTAGAGCCCAAACATGTTTTGAGAACATTGCTATCATTTTACATGACTGCATTCTATCTTGCATTGTTCTCATGGCTAAAGGACTCAATGCCCATTTTAAGGGGCTCCTACTGGCCAAAGATGGGGTAATTAAAATATAAGAACACATACATACGTACATACAGCAAATGGATTGAAAGACATTAAATATATAAATTCATGAGTCTATGATGATACTTTTTGAAAACCTCATTTTGAAGAGTAGCAAATAAAACAAAAGAATTAAGCACATATCCAATTTGTATATCCTGTATAAACTATATTCCTGAGTCGCCAAAGAGTCAATGTGGGCAGGTTCTTCTTTACAGAAAAATTCCAACTAATTATAAATGCAGAAGAAGCAACAGAATTATAATGTCACCGTGTTCCAACTCTAATGATATGCTCTCTGCAACAACCATCACTAGCTGCTAAAAAAAAAGGGCTTAGATGAAAAGTTGGTCGATGTGGGAACATTACAATGTACAGACTGGGCTGACAACATCTCTATCAAATTTAACATTACCAGAACTAGTGTAACACCTAGGTGGCTTATGCCTCCTGATGTGCTACGATAGGAAACACAGCGCCGCCTGTAAGTACTCTTATCCCACACTCTTAAAAAATACTGAATAGAAGCAAGCTTCAGATGCCAACTACCAGTTTACAGGACATATAGGGAGCAAAGAAACAATTTAAAGGACACTTAAAGATGCAGTCAGCCAGCCAAACCCAGAATATGGAAAGATGTACAGGTCAAGTCACCCAGTTTCTTCAAATGAACAGCATAATTGGGGTGGAGGGGTTATAATAAGAAACTCATGTTAGTTATCAACCAAATGCAATGATTTTTTTAGTCAAGAAATTCTGTAAAAAGACATTTTTTAGATATTCATAGAAATCTGAACACAGACTGGGTATTGGATGATATTAAGGAATTTGTTAGGGGAGGACAGAAAAAACAAGTTTGCCAAAATGTCAACAATTATTGAACACTATAGATACTTAAATGTAAAAACCAAAACTTTCTTTTGCGTTCTATCCATGGCCTACCAAAATGTTGAATGCTGCTGACGGGCATGCAAACGAACAACAAAGGCTGAAACCTCCTTGCAAGGTTTCAGACATAAAGTGTTATGCATTTGCAACTAGGAAGCAAAACACTAACATCTCTAATATCTAATGCCCCTATAGATACACTTTTCAATATACCGTTGGACTCCTCTCCCTAACTACCCTGCCAGCATTTCATTCAACCTGGCCAGCTCCTTCAACTTCTGACTATTCAGAGATTCCTTTCACTTGGAGACACAACCAAAGTCAAGGTATCACTCTACCTCCCCCAAACAGCAGAGGCTCTTCCACCGCTTCTATTTCTTTTAACGTTCTCACCATTCTCCGGTTCCCACACAACAGCTTGCTTCCTCTACCCGTCCAAATTACATGGCTTCTACCTATACAATCTGTTATTTCTACCATCACCAACCCTTTTTAGGACTGCCATACTTCTCACCCAAGACCATTAACTTTCTTAACCACTTCTTTCTTCCTCCTACCCAACTGCACTGCACAGCACCGCCATTTTCACCAATTTCATACACAATATCGCTAAACTCATCTTCCTGCAGTACAGGCCTGTTCATGTAATCGTCCACTTAAATCCTCAAAGCTTCTCTACTGTCTATCAAGCAATGACAAAACTCCCTACAGCAGCATTCCATGCGCTCTGCAACATAAATCACCTATTTTTATTAGCCCACAAAACACTGCCTTCCATCCACGTTCATTCACAACCACCCACCCGAGGGCTTCCTGAAATCATCTCATGTTTTTCTTTCCCTATGCCTTTTTTCCAACATTCTTTCTACCCATTGTGAGCTTCCTCCTCTCCTGTTCTCCTCAAAATTCCATTTATTTTTCTGGGATGTTCTCATATGCTACATGTCTAAAGCATTCAGAGTCTCCCCACTCTTCAAACCAAATGCAAATTCTTCTCCATTTAGTATTTTTCAATTCAATGATCCTACCCAAAGCAAAATAAGTTAACTTTTCTTATCTCTACTGTAGATTTGAAGTTCCTTAAGGACAAGAAAGGAATCTTAGTCATACTTCTAATCCCCTATATCACAGGGTCTTGGATATAGTAGTTAGGATGATTTTAGTTGAATTTCTAGTTACCGTGAGTCAACAGAATGATGATTGAGTGGTATTAATAAGAAAGAGTTGTTCTGCCCTGACTGGTATTGCTCAGTTGGTTGGGCACTGTCCCACAAAGTGAAAGGGTGGCCGG